GTATTTTCAACATACAATCTTAGAGTGTAAGAGTTCACGAAAAAGAAGTTCCCACGGGTATATATGCACCACTGGTTTAATTTGAATGGGGAACACACTTTTGAGGTGAGTCTCCTCATTTTCTCCACTTATCCACATTTTGGTTCACAGTGCAGAGACGTTTCAGAGTAAGTGTTGTTTCATCCATGAGATGTCCAAACTGGGAGATGCATTGTTAACATGCACTCCAAGTGCAATGAGCAGCCATTTCATAAACCAGACAAGCAGACAAAAGTAAAACCTCTGAAATGCATAGTGTGGGAAGTGAGCTACTCATACTGGGTGGGATGCACTGCTTGCTAATGCAGACATAGTACGCATCCACTTTCTAGGATTCATTTTCTGTCTCTATGAAAATCCTTCACACATGTGAAAACATTCAGGTCTCTAGCTACCCATGGCTGTCCTATTCTGTCAGTGATCAAGGTAACAAATAGTGAAATCTAACTTTAAATCAACAGGGTTTTTCTTATAATGGATGTCAGTATTCACACCAGCTTATAATCTGATAAACACTTGTGTGGAATAATCAAGAAGAGACCTTCCATTCATAAAATCCAACCTATTTTCAGTCCCGCTACTGAAGTAGGTCACCTATATCAACATTCTTGATGCTTTGCTGCATTTCTTTCTTCATTAAAGAGGGGATTGGGATTGCCCTGCGCTGTAGCCAGAGAAAAGCAACCACACCACTGCTATTGGTATGCAGGGTATTTTCTCCTCTCCCTTGGTAAGTAACATTCTTTGGCAGATCTCATACAACATGGTTAGGACAGATATTTGCAATTGCTCAACAAAGCCCTAACCTCTGGAGAACTGGAAGCAAGCAAAGAAAAGAATAGAATATTTGTGTAAAAGATGACAGCAACAGAATCAGTTTAGACCATCAATATTAAACAAGTTGAAAGCTATATATAAAACAGAACAGTTTTGTACATTTTCTGAAATGCTGAATATTCAGGCAGGAAAAAAAAAAGTTGATCAAAGCCACTGAGGAAACCAGACATTTGCCCCACCATTGCTTGCTGTTTCTGAAATCATGTAATCTGATAAAAAGCTCTAAAGTCACAGAGCTCGAGCTGAGTATAAGTCAGTTAGGACTCACCAGAAACAATATCATTGCTATTGCAATCAGAAATTGGTTCATGGTACTGTCCACGTTGTTTGAACTGAATTAGCCCTGCCCTACAGGAAGCCTGCCTTCCCAGAATGCTGCCAGGCACTTCCAACAAAAGCTATTCCAGGAGCCATAGCTAGCTCCCACACTATACTGCCAATCCGTCGGTACCTTCTGCCAACCACCACCACCAATGGGTACTTGGAAAGGGAGACTGACATACAGTTGCTGTGTTTCTGACATTTACTCACCAAGAGCCTAACTCCAAATATGTCATTTGTTTGTTTTTGTTTCCAAATGATGTTTTCCTGAAACCCATTCTTTTAAGCTGACATCTGTTCCTTCACTGGGTTGCATTACATGAAATGCCTGTGTATTTACCAATTACTCACACATGTATAGCTCATCAAGTTTTCCATGAAGAAGACAGAGGCTTTGGGGAGGGAAAAAAAAAGGGGAAGAAAAAAGGGAAGTAATATAGTAGCATATCCAACACAGATTGCTTTTTTTTTTTAAATGAATTTTTACCTGCAGTATGTTCAGATCATAACTGTGATGGAAGTTTTATTACTCTTTGGTTTGGCCCGTGAACAACTGTATTTCCTGTTAGAGTATGTCTCAATACAAGAAATCAGCTGTTCTACTTATTTTTTCCTTTTTAGTATTATTGGTCATGGAAAGATTCCTTTTATTCTAGCGATAACTAGTCATGTAAGTTAAAAAACCAAAACAAACCCAAAACATTTTGACCATAATTTCCCCTTCAAAATAATTTATGAAGCAGTACCTCTTGGCCTTTTATTTGTATAAATTATACAACAACTATAGTTTTTCTTAGACAATGAGATGAGTCTGTATTTAGTACTTCAATCATCGTTCTCAGGGTTGGAAAAGTCTCTGATACTGATGGTAGACTCTTGTAAGAAGGTGAAATACTGAAAGAGGAGAAAAAAAGAAAATTATTTATCTTTTGCCAAGTTTTATGATTTACCTGGAATTTTACATTACATTACACATTAGCTTATACTTCTCTTCATCCCCTTCTCCAATAAATTTGGCACCTCAGGTCAATAATCTGTTGCCCACACCCAACTCTTGCTTCTCATGACTCCTCACTCACTATACAGAATGAAAATAATGACTACGTAAAAGAGACTGCAAAAGTGGCAGAAGTTAAAGGAAAATTTTATTGCTTTAAGTCTTCAAGCCTTACTTACCTTAGCCACTATTATTCTTCTACCACACACAAATTAGCCGCTCAGGTTAATTACCTTCATGTTATTACTTCAAGTCCTTTAGGCTGTGGTTCTACAGATACTTTTCTCAGCATCAAGCAAAGCCAACTTTAGCATTTTCTCCACCCTGGCTCATTCCTTGTCCATTATACATCTCTCATTTGAGCCAGCAATTGGTGGGACTATGCTACGAAACGGTCTCAGTTAAAAATAAATTTTGGTTTTGGCAAGGTTATTTTTAACACAAATCAGTTCCCTGATCTGGTTTGCTATGGATTCCCACAAATTTCAACAGTACAACCGAGAGGGTCAGAAGCACACAGGTAGGGCTGAAAGATGTTGCTCCCAAAAGAGAAGTTCCCCTTTGGTAAAGATATGTCTCAATTAAAAAAAAAAAAAAAAAAAAAAAAAAAAAAAATTAACAGAGGATTAAGAAAGTTGAGTGATGGGGAGATTTACAGTAAAAAATTGTGAGAACCATAAATATTTTATATTTCCCAGACAACTAAATCACAATATTTGCACAGACTACTTTTAATAAAAACCACAACTTGCTACACTGTAGTTTAAAAATGTCACTTATTAACAAGTGCTGAATTTCACTGCATTTACATGTAGATTTTTAGCCCAAGTCTGACAAAGATGTCCTTGAGTCTTCTTAATAGCCTTCTTCATTTAGGAAGAGATTCTATAGTCTAGTGAAATTCACCAGGCTGAGAACCACCGATAATGAAGTTAAACAACACTAATCAGTATGAGATATTTGGCACTAACAGCCGCTGCAGAGTTCCTCAGGCTTTCAGAATAACTCAGGTTGGACCAGACCTCAGGAGGTCTGTGATCCAACATCCTGCTCAAAGCAAGGTCAACTGCAAAGCCCAACCAGGGTGTCAGGGCTTTACCCTGTCAGGTCTTGAAAATCTCCAGAGATGGAGACTGCACAGCCTCTCTGGGCAGCTGCTCCGCTGCTTGAGTACCCTCAGGGTGAAAAGAATATGCTCACTCTGAACCTTGTCTCAACTCATGCGTGTTCCCTTTTGTCCTCCCACCAAGCACTGCCTGGCTCCATTTTCTTAATACTCACAGATACTGCAAAGCTGCTGTTAGGTCAAAGCCTTCTCTTCTCCAGGCTGAACAAGCCCAATTCACTCCTGTTAAGGCACGTGCTCCAGCCCCCTGACCACCTTGGTGGCTCTCTACTGAATTTGCTCCAGTTTATCATAGCCTTTTACTGCAGCTGCTCCCAAACTGGATGCAGTATTCCAGGTCTAAAGTGCCAAGAACCCCCCAAATCTGATTATCCAAACAGCTTTTTACCCATCCAGCTGTCCGTTCATCCAGACCATAATGTGCTGAAGTAAAAATTAACATCAATTGCTCTCTTCTCATCCCCAATTCCAGATGGTCTATCATTGAAAGCAATCATATTGGGTCACACAATGTTTGGTAAACCCATATTGACTGTCCCCAGTCACCTTCTCCTTGACATACAAGTGCTTTCCAAGAGGGCTCACTTCATGACTTTCCCAGGGACCAAAGTGAGGCTGACCAGCCTACAGTATCCCTGGGTCATCCTTCTGGCCCTCTTGAAGATGGATGCAAGATTTCCTTTCCTACAACCACCAAGAATGTCCCCTGATGTGCATAACCTTTCAGAGATTATAGATGGCCTTGTAAGGACATCGGCCAGTTGTCAGTACCCTTTAAGTATCTTGAGCCTGACTGGAAGTATACTAAAATTGGTTTTGTCTCTGGCCCGATTTTTAGATTTTGTATGGGGGATAACCACTAAGGGACAAACCAAATGCACCAGATTCATAATATTGACAAGGAATTAATGTGTTCAGTATTGGAATATCAATTAATATTAAAAAAAAAATCAAAATTTTAAAGCATTATACAGAAGTCATGCAGTTACACTAAGCAATGTAATTCTGTATATTCAAAACTTCCATCTACTTTGAAAATACTTATTCTCCAAATTAAAACAGCACTAAAGAATAAGTAAATGACCTTTGATATATAGTTTGAAGAGATTCATTAGAATGAAAGAAAACAAACCAAGTTAAAATTTTCCCCTGTTTTACTCACTCAATTGCCAGATTTACTAATGATAAAAAAATAATAATAAAAAGGCAAATTTGACCACTGGACAAAATGAAGAAAATATTAACCCAAATAATTTTCTCAGGGGATAACACCCACATAACAATGTCTAGACTACTAGCTACTCTGTTAGACTCAAAATAAAACTACATTTGTAAATTCAAATCTTGTCTTATAAATGCATAGACTGTTACAAAATACACTGAATCATTTAGTAAACTCATGATTTCTAAGAAACATTTTTTAGTATAGGTTTAAATTTTACATGTGAAGTCTTTTATATTTTATTTCCCTACCCCTCATCTGAACAAAAAGATTTACCTTTTTAGATTCATCCAGCTCCTTGCTACTTTGCTAAAAGCTTCAGACCCTGGTGCTGTCATTGCTTCAAAATCAACCAGCTGAAAATGCAACAAAATAAATATCTTAAGAAATTAGCAAGTTTTAAGTTCTCTAATTTCACACGTTAATCCTCAAATATTCTCAACATATAAATTCAGCTGTAAAAACATATTCCTCCTTTTGTCACAAAAACCAGGTTTTTTTTTTTAAATCTCTTAACAAGATGTTCGTACTAGTGAGTCAGTGCCAGAAAAATATTGACTGTCTTCAGCCCTTTATTAAAATGTCCAAATAAAATGGGGATATTTCTCATTTCTACATACTGTATTCTGCAAAATATTGTGTCATGATCGGTAGATTTACATTGGACTTTCCAGGCGTTCCGTATTACTTCTCTCCACAGTGGGTTTTCAGACAAGTTTAACTACATACAGCCAAGAACTCTGCAACTTTGCATCTACAGCCGAACATAAATTTTCAGCAAAACAACATTTGGTCAAAAACATTGGTTCACTACTACTGAAACATTTAAGCTGGTATGTTTGTGGTTCAGTGAACTGTGACTGAATTCAAGGAAGGGTTCTGAGAGCATGATTCCTGTATTCTTGGTAAGACAGGAGTATGCTTACTAACTAGTCTGTGCCCAGACTACTTTGTCCATCATCACCAGTCTGGAAGTCAGCATGCATGCCAGGCACTGAAGCGCTCTGTGGGTTTTGCACACCCCACCACAACCAGTATTGGAAGCTACGCTGGCCATGGCTACTGACTGACCTTGCCAGGCAATAACAGGACTCTTGACTACTGGGCATCATCTTTGTCTTCAGAGCAGTCTGATAATGCATGCCGTCATAAGCTTGGGACCAGAAATACCCTTCTCAGGAATCTGGCCAAAAAAAAAAAAAAAAAATTTCCCAGTTTCATTCAACTGGGAAAAACAATTTCTTCCAGCTGGTGAAAACTTTTCTAAAAATGGTTTTGTTCCAACTCAGGCATTCTGTTTCAGGAAAAAACCTCGAATGTAAAAATGTCCCTAAATCTTCCTGAAAGTCAGAAATCTTGCTTTTTAGTAATCCTGAAACTCTGCTTGCCTGCAATAGTCAGCAAAATGCACTACCTATTAAGTCCCAAGATGATGCATAAGAAAACCCACATAGGTCTTTTATGTGACCTTGAACTCCCACAGAACAGTGATGATACTAGCTTAATGACATACTGAAAAGGAAGCTTTCTTGCTACTAAGCAAGTGCAGTTTGCTCTTAAAATCTACTAGGAGTTCATTGTACTGAAAGGACAAACTTGATTGCTTTCAGGGCTTCCTAGAAAAGGGAAAGTTGCTCCTTCTTCAGTTATCCATGCAGGATATTTTCCTCAACAACTTTGATTCTCACTGGAATTTCACCGATTCTTTTGACAATACATTAGAGACAGATGTGCTCTCACTCCTTTCCTACTGAAAAGGTAACACAGCTAACAGACCAACAGCTGAATAAAGAAAGGGAAACCTTTTATTCAACAAGGTGGTATAATATTCAAGTGTAGTCCCTTAAAAACTAGGACTTATATGAAATTAAGCAGAATGCAGAGGGGAAGGAGAAACCAAGAGAAGTTGCAAACATTTCTACTTACCAAGCCCTAAATGCTCTGGAATACATTGAGAACAAAGACAGAAAATTTCTGCTGTGTGCCATAAGAGTCACTAATTCTGCCTAAGTATTCTCAGAACCCTTCTCAAAGAGCAGCTCACCACACTAGAAATGCTTCAGATACGTAATTACTGTGGCACACAAACCCCTACAGTTTGACTAACCAGAATTACTGCACATTAGGTCTCTAGATCTCACCTGCTTGGCAGAACAGCAATAAAATTTTCAAAACTCTCTGAGGCTGCAAAACACCATAGCATGCAGCTAACTCTTCTCCAGCAAACAAGTGTGCAACTCCTGTTCATTCTTACAGCTCCTTCCTCACATTTACAAGTATTACTTCCTCCGTCAAGGCTGAACCAGCGCATTTTGGTACTTGCCTTTCCTTTAGGGATTTTTCCTGATACTTCTTTTCCACTTGCCATTAGTGCTCCCATGATCACTGAATAAGCTATCACACTAGGAAAAAAAGAAAAAAAAAAAGAAAAAAAATAATCAAAGTACAGTAAAAGTCTTTCCATAATGCTATTTTAGACTACAAAACAAATATAGTGCTGCACTGTACGGAAGGCTAGTAAAGATTACTATGCTAGTTACTTTATTTTAGAAGTAAAACCAAGCATGAAGCACAAAGTGAAATCACTGTTACTTTTCAACACCGCTGGAATGAAGTTATGATCCTGTGGAGTTTAACTACTGAAGAGCACTGTTTCTACGGTAGTCAGAATCATAATTTCAGACTTACAAGTTCTTAGGACTCCGTAGAGCTGAATACAAAGGAAACTCCTGTTCCCAAGAAGCTTAGCTGTAGCCCAGAAGAGTTTATGAACTCTACTGCAACAGAGCTAGAGGCACTGTAAAGCTGTTCAGTTATTTAACTTTTTTTTTTTAATTGTGAAACTCAGAATTTCTGTTAATTTTTACATTCTGTAAGATAAACACAAAGTCTAATTATAAAAATAAAGTCTCAGGATTTATTAAATTTTTTTTTCTACTGAACTGTGTTTAATAATAAGCTTAAAGTTCTTAAGTGCTTTGTGGAACAGATTCATAATAGTCTTAGATGTAGCCAGGTTTGAATTAAGCTAGAATTTCAGTTGAAGAGATATGTAATATGGGACCTAATTCTGTGGTTTCATTTGGTGACCTTAACAGTTGCAATAAATTACTAAAATAATATTTTAGTCTATTTTATTAAAATATCTTAAAGTATATTTAATCCTAAATAAATGTTTCAGTAAAGCTTCTTAAGTGAAATTACAGTGGTGTAACATAATATGGATTAGGACCCATGCATTACAATTTAAAAATGACACTTTTTCAATCTGTGAGCTTAAGTCTATACATACAGACTACTCATCACTTTAAATATACATGCAGCTATGAATAGCTGACATCAGCAATTACAAGCTAGCTTTTAAAACAGCTAGCTTTTAAAACAGTACTAAGTCAATACCCATCGTCATGGCAGCACAAAATGACAGACTCCGCAGGGGACACAACACAAAGGGAGAGACTGTGCAGGACACAGCTCAACCCAGAGCTTTTTTAGCTTTTTTTTGTATTTTAAAAAAAATAAAAAAAATCTATTAAGATACTGCAACACATGGTCGTTTTACAGCATGCATCCAAGATAACAGACATGATAAAGGTAATCACTAACCTAGATCCTCTTGAAAGTGGCATTAAATTATAGAAGTAATAAACTAATGACAGGATCAAGTTGCAAACAGCATCTACTTCCTAAGCAAGAGAAAAAAAAAGTGAATTAAAGATAATTTAATAATCAGGTAATTCCAATATATGTTACTTTATCTCAAGCTGAGAAGTCTGATTAACAGATGTTTAAGCAGATTGCTTTGTTATACCTTTAAAATTTAGGTGAAACAGTTCATCTACACTGTGTTAAAGGATGAAAAAACGGAAAGCACGAGCGTAAATGTAGTCAGATTCTCACTGCAATACAAACCAACACAAACACAATTCTAGTGCTTCTCATGAATTTGTGTTACTTCTCATCTTATATGTAACCACCATGAGCCAAATCCTAAGCAGTGCTTACAAGGATGATGAAACAGTGAACACAGACCCATGAGAAAAACAAGGAAAATAAGGAGTGGGGGGGAAGGAATATACTGTGATAGTGAAACCTTGTCTGGACTCTCTCTAGTACTGCAGCAAAGCACAACAAATTTTCAAGGAACAGATAGAATTATGGCAACTTCTTATGGTATCTGTCACAATTGGGTTTAAGCAAGCAGTCAATTTCATTACTTAAGATTTCTGTCAAAAATTATTAAGCAGTGACTGTTAAACAGAAGGTATAAAAATGTAACAGAATTTTATCACGGAATTAATAATTTCCATTAAAACAGCCTTACCCCCAGCTCTGCAGACAGAATTAGAATTTTTCCTTTGGCTGTTAGATCCTTATATAGCGCATCTATTTCTGCATGATACAGCTGTGTTCTCTCTTCTGTTGTCTGAGTTTCTACTGAAAATAATATGTTCCCCACTCTGTCAAGTAGTTGAAACAAAGAAGGAGGTAAGACATTTTTTGAACAGAACTTGATGCATAATCTAATATCCAGGGTAAGTTACAACTGTACTACAGTTAAATACACATCAAACTTTTTCCTGTAATTTTTCCTTAAGCAGGAGATTATGAGCATTGCCCCCCTTTCAGTTAAAAAAAAAAAAAAAAAAAAAAAAAAAATCGCCAAATTAAAAATGTTTTGCCACACTGTAAGTTGGCCTGAAAGAATACATAAGGACATGACATCTGTCTAACCACAGATGACATATTTCCATTGAAGATTACCTGACAAGCATTAGTGTTTCGCTTAAAAAGTGTGGGTAAAAAATAAGAAATATGAAATTTTAAAATATCTTCATAGGCTTGAGATTTTTGTATAGGAGGTAAAGTGTAGTTTTGTTAACTTTTAAACTACCACAATGGAATTGTTTTGGTATAAAAGCATAGTTACAAACTATGGATCAAAACAGACTGACTGATACAGAACAAAGTTTGTGCAGAACAAAGTTAGACCACTTTACTGACACCAAAATATTTTCCCCCAAACAGTGAGGCCATATATTTAAAGCCATTTCACTGTACCTAAGCATATGATTTAGAATGTAAAATTAAAACCCAAGAGATATGTTAACATTTTAGAAGAGAAGTTTGGCTTCCATGCCACTCATTGGAAGCACACAAGTTTTGGGAAAAATTCCAATGCACAGAATTTTAAATCCCATATGCCAACGTTTTTAGTTAGTAGTAGGACAGAGCTTCTGAGCTTCAAATTAATGCTCATTCTTCAGGAAGACAAGGAGCCAGTATCCATAAAGCAAGAAATATACTATCTCACCTAAAGAGTGGCCCAAAGCCTCCTGATAGTACCATTCAGGTACTATGTAAATCAGCATTTGCAGATAGAAGGTCTGCAAACATCTCAAAAATAAACCTTAAAAAAAGACCAAAAATCCAAACAGAAGAGTCTCTTCCATTCTTAGATCATAGAAATTTCCATTCCATTCAAGACTTTTCATTCACCACAACAGACAAGGTCTCACAGCAAGAAATGTATTTTGATATGGATAAAGACTGAGATTTTTGAGATTTTACCACTTTAAGCATTTCATAGTCCAAGATGAATAACAGGGTCTCTCTTCACTTTTATACTATATGTTAGAAAATTAGTTCAAGTGGGCGAACTCCATCAACATTATCCATATTCCGTCTTTGTTAGGGAACACAACAGGAATCAGAAGTCCTCAAATGAACAAACTTTTTAGTTATTTAGAAAAATGCCAGTATTGAAAAACAAAACCCGCTTTATGCAAATAGAAATGGCATTTGAGAAGATTAATTGCTCATACTTCATCATTACTTCATCTACCTGAACCTCTGAAAATAGCAAACATACTTATCTCCTGTTATTGTAATTGTGAATCCATCATATTCTTTCCCTTGATCCTTGAGGCTGGGGACTTTTGTGTTCACAGTAAACCCATCTCTTGTTTTACTGTTAAACTGCTTTCAAAAGAAAAAAAGAAAAAGTAATATTAGAGTGAAGTGAGACTGACTGCCTAGCTATTGTTTTGAAACACCTAAAATACATGGAGCAGAAATGAAAATAGACAAACTGGGGGAACAGGCAAAGAGTTACTGTCAGCTACACTATTTCATTTATCCTTTATTTCTGACTGAATGGAAATCATAAATATTGAATGAAGCATACTGACATTCGACTTTATCACTATACAGTGAATATAAAGTGCCCCTGTTTACGAAAAGCAACTGTACAACGCAGTTTGAGTTGTACAGTTTCCTCCCCAAGTTGCATGTTGATAGTAACCTTGTGGTGTAATAATGTAAATGCGAAAGTGGGAATCTGAGAGCCTGTTTGATGTTTACACTAAGAAGTAGCTGCGTTAGTGTAAGTGTGGATTCCAAAATATGGCTCACAGCAACAGTGTCTTAACTCTGATCCCGTTTCAATTAACGCTTATCCCCATCAGAAGGAAAAATACCACAGCTTAGATAATGTAGCTTTGTAAAATTCTTAAGTGTAATACTGTAGCCAAAGAGTTGTATAAACCAGGCAAAACTGTATTTAAGTAAAGCCAAAAGCCCAGCTTTTGATCTGCAGCTACCCAAACAACCAAACTACATCAATATTAGCAGACATTCATTTTATACAGGCATTACTGATTACTATCATGCAATGTGCTAAATTAATTACTCAGGCCAATTATTTTAAGATAGAACTTGTGATCCAGGATGTTTTGTTTAAAGAGCAGCTGCATTTATTTTAAAGAAACAAATCTAAAAGCCTCTAATGAGAAACAGCATTCCACTTCGATGCAATTCAGAATGGGATACAGGAGATTCAAACCAGAGCAAAATGTACAGGTTATGAAAACCACAAAGATTATTTGCAGCCAGTTGAGACATTTATTTTGAAAAAAGCAATGTATAGTCCACTATTTATATATTTTCATCATCCTCTTGGAGCAACCTACATTTTTAACTCCACTAATAGCATTTTTTTCTGGCCTACGATTCAACAGTAGCCATATTAGGTGCTCTACAGAGCCCTGTTTGCACATTTGTGTGCTAGTACGGAACACTTAATTGTCTACCCACCCCAACATCTTCTACTACTTCATCACAAGTTTTTGTTTAGGTTCAGTTAGTATCATCCACTTGGCTTCACCTTTCAAGGCCAAGAACAAGACAGTAATATAAAAAGGACCTCCAAAATTATGGTATGTTGTTTGAAGACACTTATTATTACTAATACATATTATAAAAAAAACATAGAAAAAAATATTGCTTGAGCCATGTAGCTTCTGTAAAGATATCTGTAGCGCACCAGTGAGTAAGCACTACAACTGTATCCAAACCAGATGGTCTATCGGTAGTAGCAGCAATATAGCTTCAGAGAGCTCTGCTCTACGGCAATCTGTCAGCTTTGCTTAGATGTGAAATTGCAATGTGGACACACTTGATAAGAAAGCAATGAATTTGTCTCTATTTAGAATGACTGTTTCTTCCCAAATTTTATTCTACTCTAGATAAAATCTTGTCCAATCCTTTAAAAAGAAATACTTTGTAACAGTGTTTCCCCACACCCAAATACTTATACACTGCTCACCCTAGATTAATTTGGGGGAAGGGGGGAAGGAGAGTTGGAAAACCTTTTACTTAAATCCAGCCTTACTACTTAAGTTGAGATAAATCATTTACGTGTCATATACCCAAAGCCTTTCTACCAACCAGCAAGCAAGAAAACCTGCAGGTTTCCCCACTCCTTTTCTGACAGTCTTCCAAAGCACAGGAATGTAAACCAAGGTTTAATTTCAGATTAGCTATTAGTCACTAAGAGCACCTATTCCCCCATTTCCCCCTGCCGGCCCCACCACATACTGACCTGCACCAATGAACCTAAGGTAAAAAGAAGAGCTTCCATGTTCCTAATCTTTCAGACACATATCTTCAATTTTTTTCCTTCATACTGTACAGGCATAGTGTGAGCCCATTACGGTGGATCTGACCACAAACCCTCCCAGGTGATAAGGCTGGTTTTGAGGAATTACATTCAATGTTTTGTTTTCCCATCATTTCTTTACCAATTCAAAGCTAGGCCAAGCCTTTCAAATACACACCACACATCTGCATATATCAAAGGGAAGATCATACCCTACATATGCAGATTTGAAATAACCTGAGTTACTGTTTCCAGTTACTCATTTTAAGCTTATACACAATGGTTATACTCTGAGGAACTGGATATCCCACAGAATACATTTCATTACTTTTACCATCTTTTGAAGTTTTTCTTTAATTTACCTTCATTATGGGAAGAAGATCTTCTACTTTATGTACCTTTTCCAAAGCTTCTCGAACCTCTAATAGTCCTTTTGGATTATTAGCACTGGAAAAAAATTAAATACGGAATCACAATGATTGAACACATGTAGCAGTTGTGGAAATCCATCTAGCTTTAACCTAATTAGCCATAGTGGAATAAATTACTGGAAGTTATTTAATTACTTATTTTCTGAGAATTAGTTTCTTCATACTTGGCCACATGGTCTTCTATTCTTCAAAAAGTAATTTCCTCCTATATCAGCTCAGCTTATTTTTTTCAGCTTTGAACTTCAGGTTTTTCTTACTCATTTGCTGTTGGCCACTCTAAACCATTAAACAGTGTTTGCATGAGTGTGTGTGGGCAGCAGGGTGTTGAGGAGGAAAGATGGAAGAAGAATAGAGTTAATGTTAGAAATATTCTTCTCAATACATGCATCTGTGTAGCCTCAAAGTTATGTAAATACTACAGATGCAGGCACAGCTGGACTGTGAAGAAACCTATTGAACTAGTGCTCTAATAGTTACTAATTACTGTACAGACAGATTTTAAGAAGAGAATTATTTTTAAAAAAAATCACAGCACAAATTGCTCTGATTTAAGGTCAAATGCTGCTGGCTCACTCTGAACAAACTTTCTCCCAACAGAGGATAGACTTCCCAGTTACTACAGAACTTGCACATCTTTGGTAGCTATCATAAATTTTCCAAGACTTCAGTGTTTTCAATTGTTATAAGGATTTTCTGCACTTTCTTTTTTTGATATTTAAGTAGCATAATGAGATTGAAAAACAGAACTCAATATTTAATAAAAGTTAAAAGGCCAAAGAAAAATTAGAGGGTTTGAAGCTACAATTTCTTGATTTTGCCACAGATGAGCCATTTTACTCATAAAAAAAAATTATCAAAGTTTGAAATAGATGCCAATATCAACCTTCAGACTACCTTTAGTCACGTTCTTTCATTCAAGATTCTACAGCTGTCTTCTGTATTCATCTATGTAACAGGTAGTAAAGCAGAGGCTCCTTTAAAACAACTTGTCAAATACCAGTTTCAATTAAAATTACCTTCCATATCTTCTTTTCTCTTTTTTCCTCACTCCTACTATTTAATACACTAATCTCAATATTCCGAGAAACTGTACTCTATTCTACCAGAAGGAAACTCAGCTTCTTTAGTAAGTCGTATTTTCAGAAAGAACTGAGTGTCACTCATATGCCAAAACTGCGGGTACAAATTCAACACCATTATTAGTTTCTAGGTATACTGTAATTCATAGTGGTTTTCCCTTAGTTTAAGTTTCTTTATGTGGCAATGAATAGGATTTTGCATTTCCAATAGGAAATAAGTGGATTTTAGAAACTAAGAAAACTGAAACTTATTAAAATTTAAAAAAAATCCCTCAGACCTTCTGAAATTAATATTATATAAATTTCAAATCAGTGTTACCAGGGGAGTGAAGCAGGGGAAAAAAATATCAGTAAATTACCCATGATAAACAAGGATCCTATCTTTGATAAAATGAAGAATTTTCTCAAAATATTCCAGGTACCGCATGTTAATGACCTGTCCCCTACAAAGAAAATAAAAGGTTTGTTTAAAGTCTTGTTTTACAACCCAACATTCCAGGGCTAAGACACAAATATTACTCATCAATATTTGACAGAATTTTATCCACAGATGCTTTGTAAATTAAAGGAACAACCTAGAGGTTTGTCTGAAGTGGTGAGCTGCACATCCCCCGTTTTGCATATGAATTCCATAGCGAACTTGCAAAAGCTAATGTATCATTAGTGTTGTTCTCTGACAATCCACATTTCATGCATATTTCCCTATTTTCAGTGTGCCCATGTGCAGTAAATCTTATCTATATGATAATTATCAATTTGTACAAGGATATAGTCTTTCTTGGACAGTTATTTAGACTCTTAGATATTGCAGAATTAGGGGAGAATTCTCAATCTGCACACTGATTTACTTTAAGAAGCAACACTCTCCAGTTTACATATTTGCCAACATATATGCTGATCTGCTCTGACAGTCCACATACATTTTCCTTTATTCACCTACGTCCCTCTATATTGAAGTAATTTTGCTTTGACTCCTAACAGTTACAAATAGTAACTGTTAAACAAAAACATCAAAGAGGTGTTTTCTCCTAGGGCTACTAGGGAAAAAATATATATTAAAAACTTGGTAGAAACCTGCTAGGATTATAACCACTCTGAGAGGAAAAATTACATACCATTATTGCATTTGTAGGAGTCCTTCCTCTTCTCCCAGTCTACAAAACAAGATTTTATAAAGCAAATGTTATCGCTCTCTGAGGAAGCAAAACCACTGTCAATCACAGGAAGGTGTGTACACCTAACTTTTTGTCCACACTGAATGATTTTTGGCAGCTTAAGCCCCTGTCTAATGTCTCACCTGACAGTCTCACGCTTTAGTAGGCCTAGTCTCAGAATAGCAGAATCAGTCTTTAAAAACTGAACAGTATTAGAACACATGCATATCTGCACATAGGAAAGGGAGGTATAGAAAGTGGAAGGATGAAGACAAATCTATATACATAATTTGCCCTTGTTGTACGTCCCATCATGTTCCATCTGTATTAAAAAAATATCTGTACAACAGGCAGAAGCGTGTCAGTATAATGAACTTGATTCTTCTTTAGCAACCTCTTGGAAAATACATCCAAACCAGACCTATCATTCTGAAAGGCCATCTAGAAGCAGTAATACCAAGAAAAGACTTTTTGGTGGGTGGCCAGAAGTGATTTGTGCTTATTTCCACTCTTTCTCCTTGTTTAATAAACACTACCACCAAGAATTCAAAAGTAGCAGTGTTCCAGAGAGTGTCCTAATTTTTTTATAAGAATATCGAGTATATCATTAATGCTTAGCTGATCTCAAATCCTTGTTTTGCCTATGAAAATAAGCTTTCAAAAACATTTTTGCTACTTTAAATGAAACTTAGTAGCTTTGATCATTCAAGGCAGAAAGGAAATAAGCCAAAGACACACTTGTCTATAGACCCACAAAGAAGTAGTGACGGCTGATATACTTGCCTCTTGAGAATGTTAAGATCTGGAATCAAAGGTCCCCTAATTGACTCAAAACAAACAAACTTTTTTGTTTTCTGACACTTTCCAAAAGTTTTGCCACTCTGGAAGAGAATCTTTAATTCAGCAGTCACTGAATGCTAGTGCCTCCATGCCAAGACTCATTTGACAGGAACTACTGAACAATAATGGACTTTAAATGCAAAGAATTCTGAGTAAAGAAAAAAGTTATGTCAATAGGTATCGAATCCAAATATTTTTGCACACAGAAATTACTGGTGTACAATTTAGACCAAACAAAACCTAGAGACAGCTTGAGCTCAGCATGGCTTGATCTGATACAAATACTAGAAGAACACCCAACTGCTATTGTTACTTCTTATTTGACTGAACAGCTTGTATCTTTGTATATGTAATAACCATGAAGACTGCCATTTGTCAGCCTAAATAGTCTAGTTACACCTGGTATTCAGATAGCCATGCTATAGAAAGGATTCAGCCTTAGTCATATAGTTATTCTCATAACTTTCAATTCATAAGCCAAATATAAAGCAATGTATGTCTTCCTGAAAAACAGCCACAAGACCATGAAGTGATCTCAATTATCAACAAAAAGGTGTTAGCCCTGTAGCCTATTAATATCTTCAATCATCAGCCATTTTACAGTTGAGTAATGCAAGAAGGAGATTATACAGATATGTATAATCCATTAAGAGTAAATTGTCATTTAGAAATCATAATGGACTAGAACATGCTTAAAAAGTAAAATAAAATATATTTTTAAAAACCCCTATTACTATTTAATATATTTAATTTATTTTATCTCTCACTTCTTGTGAAATCATTGGGAGGGAATCCAAAAGCAGAAACAAATCACTACAGGAAGCTGGCCAACGAAAGCAGCTATTGCTTGGGATGCAGAATGATCAAACAAGTACGGCTTTCCAGAAACAAAAAGGATGCAGTCACCATCCAGTACTAAAGTATGATTAACTCCTGAGGCAGCAGTATTTAGGCTGTTTCAAATCTATGGTTCCTTCCAAAAGTGCCAAATCAATAGTTTTCAGAGAATCACTACTTAACTATCAAAAAAGCACGACCACAATGCTGACAAGATCCCCAAAAGTCAAGGCTGAGACAAAAATAAAAGGTTAGAATTAGATTCACTGTGGGCCTACCATTCTGAATGTTCGTGAAGCTTATTTCAGGTTTCTATGAAATCACCAGAACAGCTGAAACAGTAAATCATGAGTTTTGCTAGCATTCTCTAATAAGAGGAAAACAAGTAAAGTACTTTGGCCAGTGAAAAACAGTTGCTGACACACAGATCCTGTACAGGGACCCATTTCCCCAGATTAAACGTTCAATGTTATTTTCAGCATGGTAATCAAGTGCTGTTACATGAATGCCCTTCTGCCAGCACAGATCACCTAGAAATTAAGCTTTTGCTCTCCTTGTCTCAAAGTACAGATGGCTATGGTTTCTGCTGCATTGTATGTGTAAGAGAGACATGCAGCAAAGACAGACAGAGCTTGGAGCCCAAGTGTAACACTTGGCTTGAGAGCAGACAGAAGCCTGGGCATAAGACGGTTCAAGAAGCAGCACATCCTGCAAGGCAAAACCTGCTCTGCACTGGAGTTTAGGGAGTGGTTACAATGTGGTGTTAAAGTAAAGCGGAGGCTGCTAGGGTCATCACTTTTTCTCTGCCTGAAATAACTCTTGAGAAGGCTTTGCTTCCCTTATCCTCCTTTTTCCCACACAGCTTCTCAAAAAAGAGAGAAATAGATATAAAAGCAGAATGACAGATCAAAGATTCAGTACTTCCCATGGGCGGGGAGGGGGGAAATAAGATGAAACCTGGCTATGTATTTACTTACACAAACACACTCTGCTCCTGTGATTGACAGTGATGCTGCCACATTGAGTCTCTCACACCTCTACCACTGCACGGGAGGTAGCACTGTCACAACTACAGTCTTGCAGCATGGGAGAAGATGGAACGTACAACAGTGGTTGAATCTTAAATTTTACCTTTGTTTGAAAGTGCAACCGTTACCTTTCATGGGTTACGTATTTTGTCATTTTTGCTTTATTTCATCCTGCTTTGAAAACAACTTACAAGAACTATGTTTTTTCTCTCTATTGTAAATTGGTATTCATGCTAATAAAACAGCATTGTTTCACTACTGTTGCCACTACCTTTGAGAAGCAGCATTTGCAAAAATTACAACTGTAATGAACTTCATCTAATTTTTACACTTAAGGTGATTTGGTAATTAGAATCAGCGCTTAAAAATATGCATCTTCTGGATCCTAGTTAGACCTTGTTATAACTGAGCCGTACAATTGAAATTCAGGAAAAAGAGGAAGCATCATGAGGGAAAATTTGAGGTCAACAAAACCCAAATGTTCCATAAGAAAATATAAAATAAATACTAAAATAAATTTTTTAAAAAAGCACATATACATTCAATACTGTAATATGCTGTTTCATGAACAGCTGGTAAATTTTGGCACCATCCCTTAGCGTGTGGGGGAAGGCTGTTGGGTAGAACTCTCGTACCTGATTAAGTTAATGTGATTATTGAAACCTCTGCTAAGGCTTCGGGCAGGCATTTGGTCCAACCAAAGCACAGGCTGGTCAGGGTCAGCTATCCTACAAAAGACAAAGGACAATAGTATCAGCACACATTTTACTCCACGTAATATTTTTAATTGAGCTTTGTTCACACACAGAATAATTTTAGGCAAAAACTAGAACTCAGAGATCACAAAAAAGAATTTTTAATCTAAATGCCTGTATGCTTTTCATAAGAAAAAACCCAATTCATAAGCATTTTACGTTGCTGGAGTTTGAAACTGCTAACTTCTATTAGCCTAAGCTGCGATGTATCCTATAGTCTTTCACAGCTTTGTCTCAAGCAGAAAATGCTATTCCCAACTCCTTCCCTCTTAAAAAAAGAAGAAAAATGGAGTATTTTCAGAAGTGCACTCCTTGTACCTAAACCACCCTTCACTTTTATCAGAAAATTCTCTAGTTACAGAGTGGTAGCAAGTGCTCATTTTCTCCTCCATGATCTCAGCCCTTTGGTTAACTGAAGGATGCATCGTTATTAGAACCAACATAAGGCTTGTTCTCTCCTTTTGCCATTACCTTCGCCACTTCACAGCAATATCAAACATATCTCTCCACTGCATCAGTCTGGTTTTCCCGTTCATTCTAACTTTTGAGTTTGCCCAAGTCCGCTGCACAGCTTGCATTACTTCCAGAGTGGCCAGCCCCATTGCTGGGGGTGGGGGAGGAGGAGAGAGGGACAACAACAACAGAAACAGAAAACTAGTTAGAGCCAAACACTCGTTTTTGTACTGATAGGAAAACTGAAGCAGGGAAGTGATGCATTTACAGGAAAAGAATTGCCAACATCAATAAAATCTGGGACATCATGATTTCCAGTCCCCAATTAGGTGAAAAAACTGCTGACATAGTGATTATTTTAATTTTAAACCTTTTATCTGATATGAAAGGAATAGAGCATAAAAGTAATTTGCAGGTAGCAAAGGTACAGCATAAAATTATCACCACATTGATTTTTCCCCCCACTCAAATTTAGAGAATATTTTCAGTATACCTCTATGTATTCTTTTATTTGGAAGAAATCCTGGTGTCTCATACTGCATCATGGAACCCAGATGATCAGCTGCACATATGAGTTCTTGCACATCAGGCTTATAGCTTTCAAAATTCTGAAATAACACATCTCTTACAGAGGAGAAAAACATGCATCAGACTTAACTTGGCAACAAGAGTCCTCAAAGTTGTAAAACACAGATTTGTTTGTCTGATAATCAATATCGTTTGTGTGAGAAATACTTAAAAGCAGCATAAAGAACACTCGTGCCTCCTCCCACCCCACTGAACATACACAATACACGGCAGTTACACTCAATATCTCAAATTAAATCCTGGTCTAAATTCAGTGGCAGATCTTACTACTGTCACAACCAGTATTTCACCTTCAGACTTGCTCATAAGTGATACTAAAAGTTCACAGACAATACATTGCCCTTCAACGTTACACTCACCTTGAGGAACTTTGACACTAAGTAAGGAAAGAGTAAGTATAGAAACTGGAACTTCTCCCATAATTCTGTAAAAGCTTCTTGTGCCAAAAAGGTGGATTCTATTCCATATACACAAATGCCATAGATTTTTAACTCTGCAATTTTTTACATTGATAAAGTGAATATGTGAAAATATATCTAGAAGCTAGTTTACAGCAGGAGAAATTGCTATCTTTCCTTCAGCTACATATTTTTGAAGCCTATTCTAATAGATGCCCCGCTTTGTTAACTGAAATCACCCACCTCCGAAAATACTGGTTGTCTAAATTACTCCAAAGAATACTACTTCTCAGTAAAACCCAACTGCCATTAAAAAAATCTAGGACAGTATCTAGGAAAGTACACCTATAAGAAACTATAATACAACACAATAAGAAACTGTAATAAGGGTGCTACATAACACTACACTGAGCATCTCAAGTTTACTGCAAGAAAAAAAAAGAAATAGAATAGTTAATCAGTAAGGCTATAGAATATGAAACAACATTATGTGAGTATTATTGATTATGTGAAGACAGAAGTGAAGAAAATAATGCTAAGTTTCATTCTTTCTCTTTTATAAGCTTAACCAACACATCATGATAAACCAAATCCCTATGATTTTGAAAAGGATTTGGAATTCCACTTTCATATAGTATTAAACATTTATGCTGTTCCAATGCCTCAGAATAGCACTTTTAAAAGTCAAACTGAAAAAAAAACATTTGGAGTAGGCTTTATAAAAAAAAAAAAAAAAAGTTACTCACTTTATATGTGGCTGTAACCCTGGCTGTTCTTCATAATTTTCTATGAGAAAAGGAAGATTTTTGGCCCAGTGGTCCTTGAAATTTCCAGGAAGATCTATATCAATATTATACTCTGTAAGAGGGGTATCCAAATGCGCATGCAAGTATCTAGAATACTCTGGAGGAAAATAAAATTAAATTAAATACCATTTGCATAATCAGCCTACTTATGTAATTACATAAAAACAAAAAACAGATTATATGTTTGTCAGTTATCCAACATGACTTTAATAAGCAATTACTCTTGAATAATTTAATTTTGCTATTAGCTAATTTCCAAGACAGAAATAAGTCTGTTTCAATTAAGTACCACAACACTCTTTACCATTATACAGAAATATGTATTTCATTTGTGGTCCTAGCTTTTAACTGTATGAAAAAGTAAGAATCAGTGTGCATTTTTTTAAACATACATATTTGACAGCGCTCATGAGAATGTATGATGGTTTCTTTAAAATGGCCATAACTACAAGCATGCTTGCACTTTTAGGGGTCTTGAAGGATTTAAGAACATTAAAAAAAGAAAAACAATTCCAACTTACCTCGGAGGTATTTCACTTTCAGATATTCTGGGCTGGCCTTCTGACCCGGTAGTGGATCATTTAACATAACTTTAGTCTGAGCTTTTATGCCTTCATAAAACTGTCCCATTGCAACATGGCTGAGACCTTTCATGTACTGGCATACTTCATTGTACGGCTCTAGCTGTAGACATCTCTAGGAGATTAAAGGAATAAAGCACCCATAAATTAAGAGAGAGAACTAGTATCTTCAAATAAACTAACCTTTTTGGTCAGAAGACCTTATGAAAAGATTTACTGGTTATTAAGATCCAATTCCACCACAATTTTCTTCCAAATGATGCTGAGCACTTAAATTGCTAGCAAATATAAGAAAAAAAGTATTTTCAGCTTCATTAAGGTGGGTGGGGGGAAGAGGAACTGCCAGTGCAAATATGCTTTTGATCACACTTTAATTGTTCTATCATGTTTGCTCTAACAATATTAGCGCAACAGAAGTTTCAACGTTAGATGGATGAAATTAGACAAAACATACTCCTGACAATATTAGTAACAAGTTATTTTTGGCTAGTTCAACATATATTTGCGCCATTTCTTCCAGCCATACCTTCGCTAGTTCATGCATCAGTACAATTCATTATGTTAGTCAACTATTTACTATATGTTAAACACATAGCAAATTCACATTTATCATTTAAAAATTAATGCTCCAATTCTTCTAGCAATTACATGTCTTTAGAAGAGCATCTCCATCTTAAAAGTTGAAATATCTTTTCAGTTATGCCAAGACCTACAAATTGTGTTACGGAAGGTGAATATGTAATAATGCACATAAAGCATTCTCCTTGGGAGAAGCACACACTCAATCAGAAAGGGATGTAATCATTTCCATATCTTATTCCATTCCCTGTTTTAAGGATATGGATGTATGATTAAAATATGCCTTGATTGTTGTCTATAAAATGAGGCCGTTATTTAAAGCCAATGGAGAGAGGCAAGATTTTGTTTACCTGGGGAAACACGGACATTTTTACAAGCTCAATGAATTGCAACATATTCCGAGTTTTTCAAAACAAAGAAAATACCTCAGAAAAGTCACATAAGTATTGGAACTTTGTATGCTTATTTTAAGCTCAAAATTACAAAGACGACTACATTCCTTCATCTGTCAGATATGAAAAAAAAATTCAGGTTTCAACCAAACTAAAATATTAGCAAGAACACAATTACCAGTTTAAAAAAAAAAAACAGATAAAATATTTCAAGCAGAGCTTGGTTTTAGAAAGTCATAAAACAAACAGAGGAAGTATGTTCGTTTTAGCAAAATTCCATTTTTAATTTAAAAACTGTAAGATTTTATACATCTTTTAAGACAGATTTCACAAAAAAATTATTTCAGTTCAAATGCACATACACATTCAGGATGAAAAACTGATATTCGTCCATTTTGTTGTGCTTGTTGAAGACTAGTCCTTGTTAAAACATTTTAATTTTGTATTCACTTAGGGCCTGCTTACCTTAAAATTCTTTAGTGCTTCATCTAAGCTACCATGATGATAAAGCATCATTCCTTTGAGCTGTAATGTCTGAACATGATTTTGATTTAGCAGCAAAGCCTTCTGGAAGCTCTCTGTGGCAGCATCGAAGTTGCCAAGTTCTCTAGGCGATTCCATAAAGTGGGAATTGAAGAACACAGACAGCAACAGTGACAAAAAAATTACTTGTTAAAAGTTGTTTTAATGCGACCAAAGGGGATATCACTGAAGAGGAACAAAAGCAGTAATTCTGCAACTGTTCTTCAGTGGTAAAAACAAAACAGCTGCACAGAGTTTCTCACTCCCAGAAACATGTACTCTGAAATACAACCCCGCAAGACCACAAATCTTCACAATCCTCAGCAGACATAAATCATAAAAACAACATACCTATGATATTTCTTCAGAAACTAAAAGAAACAAAACTTCCACAGAAAGCATTCTTGGCAAACACTATCTATCACAGGTCTTTTTAACTTCTGAATATAAACAAGTTTTTAAAAACATACTAACTACTTACAAACTGAATAAGAAGAATGCATTTGGTGTTTGAAAGCTGAAACTTTCAATGTATTGAAAATGTATTGACTGGAATTACTTCGTGTGCAGGACAGCTTTTAGTAAAAATAGCCACGAAGAAACTATCATGAAAATTAGAACAGAAGTAGTACACAATTTTTCTTCAGTTTTTTTACCCAGTACACTGATTTTTTAAGTTTAAGATCATTAAATTCTTTCCACATCAAATTACATTAGATGAAATTAATGCAAAGAAGAGCTAGAAAAAAAACCAAACAAGATTTACTAGTTTTAAATACATTTGCCAAAAAGAATTTTTAGACAGAGCAGTGATTAACCACAGCTCTTCAGTTTCAAATAAAAGCACGAACACTGAAGTCACTAGATTTAAAGCATTTTACCTATTGATTCCTGCTTCAAGTCATATTGTACAGAAGGACAAATCAGACTAAGAATTGACTACTACCACTATAAAAAAAATTCTTTAAAAGGTATTTTTAAGCATTGTATTTGAAACTTATTTGATGCAGAAGAAAGCAAGCGTGAACTTAGAATACAAGGTTTTAGAAAGAAAGAAGAATTTTATAGCTGAAGTTAACAGTGCCCCGGAGAAATGAGATTATTGTTTCTGCCTGTTTGAAGAACTGAGTGTTCATGGGAAAGTAATTCAGACTAGTTGGTTACTAGTTAGTGTCCTCAGTTATAAACAATATTCTATTCAGCTTCTGGCCTTCTCTAACTGCTGAGCATGTAGAAGAGTCAACAGTAAATGTAATTTGTGTGTTAAGTTCTTAAAAAAAAGAATAGGTAGATAGGGGATAGTGAGAGGGAATAAAAGCAACAAATTTAAGCTTATTAGGAAGACTCTGGTTAAGTGATTTTTTGCTTTGTAAAACAACAATGCAGTGCAAAATGACACATTTTAAGGCTTGCTTTTTTCTCTTCCTCAAAATAAAAACCTCTTCAGATTAAGGTTTCTTGGGCACAGTGTCGAACAGCTGATCAATTAGAGAGGCAGTCCCACATGCAAATACAAAATGGAAAAGTTAAAGCACTTATTGGAAATGTAAGAAGGCAACTGCCCATCTTCCAGGCTAAATTACTGACTGTTATTTATCACCTTGAAATTATTTACACACCACAACAGCAAGTACCATACAAAAACTCACGAGAAAATTCGTGATTCTACACTGAGTTCAGAATTTAGATCCTGTGGTAAATAAGGAACAAGTCCACAAAGCAAAAAATAACAAAAAAGAAAAATTAATTGACACTGCCTTCAGAGAATACTGCATGTTCTGTATGTTGAAGGAAGCATAAAGCCTGAAGAAAAACAGTACGTGATCATGTAATGCTTTCACACCAACCCTACCCAACTTAAACATTAAAAAATGGCTACACAAAAGCCATTTATGTTGCAGCAGCATCTATGCTGTAGATCAGTGCTTTCCAAAAATAAAAATGTAAAACAGGAAATAAAAAGCTGACAGGACACAGCAGGTTGGGAAAAGAACTATAATGGGCAGAGATATTCAGTTGCTGACTATGTTATGCTCTTGTCTTGTTATGTGCAAGCTACATGTACTTTCCCCCTCAGTAATTATCTGCAGACCACCTTTAAAGTAATACGTTTTATTGAACTGTAAATTAAATCATTTTATCTTTAAATGTAAATTAAAAAAAGAAAAAAGGTACTAGTTACCTTACTAAATAGAGATTGCTTTTTTTTTATTTGATCAATAGGTAAGAAACTACATGTCTGTATTAAAAATACCCTAAACAGGAATTAGCTGAATTCTCAGAACTGTAAATCTCTTTGGTGAGAAAATAATTAATATACGATCTAGCAGTTCTATCAAATGATATGCACTATGCAATAAGTTTTTCATAAATTTAAGTAGCACAGTAATCTCAGATGCCAACTAATGAGCATGTAAATCAACAGCCCATATTAAACATTTCCATCATTTAAAAATCATTTAGCTTACCTACAACTCATCTTACTGAAAACCGCCATTTACCTAACCTTTGAGCCTGGGAGACTCAAAAAGCTACTGGAGACTGAATTAAAAATACAAAGCAAACCTAGATATTTTTTATATTGAAGATATCCTGATACAGCCATACTGGCTGTAGGAGCTACCAAATACACAGATGATACTGCACAGTTTTGTAACAAATGTAAAACTTAAAGAGTGCATTTTAAAGAACACAATCAGATAGAAAACTAACTTTAAAAATATTTCTGAATGCAATTACCTGTAGGCTTGTCCCAGACTTTTATATGCATCTATGAAGTCTGCTTTCTGCTTCAGAGCTTCTTTGAATGACTCAATGGCTTCCTACAGAAAGGCACCAACAGAAAAATCTGTCACTTACTGCATTCATTTAATTTTAGCATCCTCAGTAGTTACTAGCCATGGATTTACAGTTATTTGTCAAAACCTTTAGAAGGAAAAAAGAAGGCATGAATTTATTACAAAATCTATAGCATAAGAATCATCATATAACAAACTATGCAACATTCTTTACAGAAATGACAGATTTACCTGGAATTCCTTTGTCTAATATGCTATGGGAATGAGTGATTTTTTATTTTTTTTTTAGCATTTTATTAAAACTCAGAGATGAAATCCCTTCAGAGTTTGCTCTCAAAGCTCAGTCTGGTCCCTAAGGCAAAGCAGTCTTTCTTTACAGTATTCCTTCTTCATTCATAATACACCTCAATTTTTGCAGTCCAAAAGACTCCTTCAAATCTGAACTCTGCCTTTCCTTGTTTTATTGTGCTCTGCGCTATTTGCAGAGTTAGCAAGCACTCTCTTGAGGGACTACAGAGTAAGTGATCATCTTCACAGAATAGCATGTACTGCAGCTGTGAGGTATACAGTGCAATAAAAATAAAATAGCTAAAAATAATTATATGCATATGTTCAAACAAATCTTCCTTTTCAAAGGATTTGATTAAGAACTCAGGTTTTTAAACTGGACTGGCTATATAAATTGGCAAATGCAGTACTGAGACTTAGACTCAAGGATGGGATAATCAACTACTTTATATTATGAAGGAATGCCTGAAAACTATCTTGAAGTCTATAGTGCAAGAAATTAAATGCTGTAAGGAAAGAATCATTAGTATCTTCAGTCAATTTAGAGTTTCTTATTCAGAAAAACTATCAAATACATTCTGAGCACTACAACATGCACAAAAGTACCTACTGAACAAGAACATAAGATAATCACCTACCATTACTGTTAGGCTCATGTCCTCTAGATAGGTTTTAAATCCAAGAAGATTATTCCCAAAAGCAATTATCCAAAAGCAACAATCTACTTTCACTCAGAAATGAGCAGTCTGCCACCGTCACCCCAAATCTCAAGTTTTCAGCAAGCCTAATAAAACCTAACAGATGCCATGTATAGCTTTCCTTTAAGAGGCAGACTGAACCTGACTGGAAGCTAAGATACACATGGGGATGGAAGGCCACTCAGTCACAATGTCTCAGAACTTGAATATTAGAGAAGGAAGACACTTCCTCTGAGAAAAGAAATTGGGGGAAAAGAGGTGGTGGTACAGAAATGTGTTAATCTGCATATCAGAAAGAAGAAAACATTGCTTCTATTTTGTAAATTGAGACATTATTTATCCTTGTCAGTTAGATTTTTCCACTGTCACTTTCTGGGCTTTCTGCTGTGTACACCAAAAATCAGAAATTCAATCAGACTACTATTTGCAAGTAACTCATTTGACTGCAGTATGATACAGACAGCAAGTACTATGTCAGCCTGAAGTTCTCACAGCGTACACTAAGAGTGTGGAAAAAAATACCAGCTTGGGTATGAAGAAAATGGAGAAGTAGCCTGTTTGCTGAAAAAAAGGAAAAAATAAACAAACCCCAACCAACCAAACCAAAAAAGACCCCGAAAACATACAGTGATTGCCTATGAAAGACACTGGGCTGAAACTCAGGAGTCCTTGGTTGTCTCCAGGTTCTGTCAGAATTTCTTCATACAACCCTTAATGAAACCCAAGCTTTCAGCAGAGGTTAAAAAAAGCTTCCACTCTGTTGGAATTTAGGAATCACACAGTTGCATCCTCACTTTTCAAACTGAGGATTTCAAACAACGTGTCTAATTCCTCTCCCCTCAGAAAAACTACAGCAGTATCTCTACATACTTCACAAGCAAGAGACAGGTGCAATATTACTACACCTAAAACATAGGTAAGTTTTGAATCAGAAAATGGTGAAACATTAAAAAAGCACAGGAAGAACTTACTTCCCTGCCGATTTTAGAATCTGAGGAGCAACTATGTTCCCTAAACTTATGAGCATTTCAGAATCAACATACAACCAAAATACACATGCACAAATGCAGGGCTCTCTTATCAGCAGTTTCCTTGATCACCTTCTAGCTCATTTGAGGAAGAATTTAAAGCTATTTTCCTCTTCATCCCTTTCCCCTTCACAAAACCTAGGGAGTCTCCGTTTCATGGAAAGAAATTTTGAATATAACCATACAGATATTAGCAGAGGCACCAAATACAAAAATCTTTCAAAGCACTCAATAACCACATCAGTCATCACCAATTTACCAAGATCCAACAGTATTTACATGTCATACCATGAAGTATTACAGTCAGCAATGGCACCTTTTCATTTTGCTTGCACTCTTTTGCCTTAAAGTCTTCCTTATTTGAGAGAAAATACGTATAGTAATCCCCAATATTTCTACTATTTTACAGAAGCAACATCAAATAGAGGGTATTGTTCTACATGAGCTGTTATTTAACATAGCTTTACCTTCAAAAGTCCTCTGTGAAAAAAGGTTAAGCCTTTATAAAGCATAGCTATAGGCTGGTTTTTGTTCAGTTCCAACGAGTGCTGAAAATCTTCATGGGCTGTTGCATAATCCTGTAATAAAGTAGATTTTAGACGACAGAGAGAACACCATACAAATAAAGAGGAATACATAGTTTTATTTTCATAAAAGTAAACTACTGATTTTGTTTAATATACGGTATCAGTCTCAGGGCTAAGCAGCAACAATTGTCAACTGCCAGTCAGAATATCAAATAAGGAATGCACAATACACTTCCAACTTTTACAGCAAGTGCTATATAAAAACATAATAAAGCAAGTGGAAAAATAGCTGGAAACAAACAAGAGTGAAATAAGAAGAATAACATGGGAAATCAGCTATTTAGTATTCACACAATCTTTGAAGATAAAGTTACTTGTTTTACATTAAAGTGTAAGAACAACACACACAGATGACAAAGGAAAATAGGATGTTAGCATTTTTGTAGGGCTTTTTTGTTTGGTTGTTGTGTGGTGTGGGTTTTTTTTTAAGTATATAGGGCAGAGTTAATGCCTTGGCCATAACTGTCTTCCTTTTTAGACCGGCATTTAACAATACTACTTAAATGCAGCTGCAGGTTATAAATCATCACATTCTTCATCCATACCCTGCTCCTCTAACACACAAAACAATCTGAGACATGCATGCAAGGTACTTGCTCTCCGATTCTGTGCATTAAATAGATATGCAAATGAAATACTTGAAAAATACCTCTGAACTGTCAGAAAGTCAACTACAGGAAAATCAGGGCTTTTGCTGTTGTTTTGTTTTTTAATTTAAACATGAAATAAGTTCTCGAACAAAAGTAACAACAGGCACAAACAACAACCACAAAAGGATCAACAACATCTACACAACCAAAATCAGAATCCCCGAAATCCACTGACCTCAGATATGAAGTAAAGGGTACCTCTGTGCCTGTAGAGACGTGCTGATGGTTGTAGCTGAATAGCTTTGGTGAGATCAGATAACGCTTCACTGATTCGTCCTAGTGGGGACAATATCTAAGAGTATAAAACAAAAATATAATTTAGAGCAAACAGGCTGAAGAGATTTGTTTTAGAAATATGAAGATTAATTCTTTTTCATGTTCAGCTGTAACAGAGTAACTGTATTTGCTAGAACAGGCTGGAAAGTTCTAGTATAAATGTCAGCACTTACTGCTTTTAAACCCCTATCAAACAGAAAATCTGAAAGCATTTTTCTCAAAAAAAAAAAAAAAAAAAAAAAAATCAGTGTACACACCCATCACCAATAACATTTGCAGAAACCCAGTATTCCAAATAAAATGGAATAAATGGAATAAAACTCAGCCAATGGAAAATACACTATTTCAAGTTATTTCAACACATTCAACTGAAAATGTAATTAAAGTACTCTCATAACCTTTTTATTTTGACAAAATATTCCCCCAACGGAAAATGGTCTATCTTCCAATTATCTGAATGCCTTTCCCATTTTTAGATCAAGATTATTAACACATGTATTAACAAATCATTACAAACATGAAAATTGTGAATTACAATTTCATATTATGGCACTTATCATTATACAGTATGCAGAATTTAATAAATATTTATGCTTTTGATTACTCTACAAAGCTGCTTCTTGAAATCCATTTTCTGTAATTTAACTGGCGAAACAAAACATGATTTTCAAAATGAAAAATATCTGTGTATCTGAATGATATTTAACCTGTATGTATGAATATAAAACAAAAATATTTTATTAAAAACTCATTCTTTACAAGTCCGGCATTTTACCAACTAGTCCTAACAATAACTTACTAAGGTGAAACTAAGTGCAAACAGTAAGGTTCAAGTGATATTTTGATTCATTATATTAAAAAAAAAAAAAAACACCCCACCAAACCAAACCACACACGATCTTGCTATACAGTATGTCAAAAAATACTTAAACATAATATATGCTACTCTACTGGCTATAGTAACTCTACATGGTGTATGCTTCATTTTAAAATAAACATTCTACAAATCACACTGAGAGCAAATATGTGTATTTTAAAAGAAAGGAGGAACGTTCACAGAAAAACACTAATAAGAGGTTTAGTCATTAAATCAGTGAAGAAATACTTGAAAACACTGTATAATTGCAACTTCTCTAAATCTGAGAGGAGACAAAAATATGCTCACTTCTGCTCGCTGTTCGAATACTTCAGGATGATCTGGTTCTAGACTAATCACCCTACTCAGCTCAAACAGAGCAAGTTCAGCATTTTTCATATCCTGAAAAGGAGAAAAATAAACAAGGTGAGCAGCTATGCATACTTATGAGTAATACACCCTGAAGAGTCAAGGACAACTAGATTGGCTAAGTTCCTGGTGGCACATCAGTTTACATTGAAAGCCTTTCACACCTTTGCTAAGAACATTAAGATGAAGTATTCTACAAATAGCTGAAAAAGAAACCACAACCTATGTGCTATAAACAAGAAAAATTTTGCTTGTACACATCATCTTTGTGCTGTACCTCTAATAATTTATTAATACAACTCTGTGAATAAATAAACATTAGATTTACAGCTCTACAGGTACCTTTCTTGGCAGCAAAGCTGGCTCAAGCTCCCACATGAACTCCAACACACACACATAACTCTCACCCACCAGTATTTTCATCAGTACTGTCTGTAACTTAATCCAAGTAGTACTGGTGAATGGATTGATGCCATCAGTATCTTGCCTATCTGAATTTTTATATTGTTCTCAATAAATTGTAGGATGGAAGCAGTTACTTAATTGGAAAGAAAAAAATCAAAACTGGTTATATAGCAAGTTCTGTATTAGATTTCATTGATCTTTTTCAATGCAAAGACATTTTTCATGTGCTTAACATCATCTTTCTGTCTTGAAACTGTTGCTCACAGCAACTTTTATGAAGTGAAGATGTCTCAACATCTAGCCGAACTGAAAAAATTCATGCTGGTGTTAAAAACATGCGAGCTCCTGTCAGAACCACTGAAGAATTAAATATTCTGCACAAAGGAAATTTCAAGGAGCTATTCAACTATTTTTTTCTTCTGGAATTCCAGCAAACATTCATTCATGATTCAACAGGCCACCTACTCAAACTACAAGGACCATAGTCTACTTTTAAACTTATTTTTGCTCAGGAAATTGTTTGAGCAGTCAGCTGTAACTGTGATTTAACTTCGAAATCTTTGGAACAAATTCAAGATGTACGTATCAAGAGGCATAGGCAATCAAGAGGCAATATAAAGCCTACTGGATTGCAAGAGTTGACAATGTTTCCAAGTTGCAATAGAAGACTTTTTTGTTTCCAAATACAGACAGGATGTGGAGACAAATTCAGTGGGACGTCATAAACCTGCCTCTCAGAGGCAAGATATTGTCTGTTAGCTTATCAGACAACTCTTTTAGGTGGCTGTGGCTCCCAGCCTTACTATCCACCACTCACAATTGTGCCTATATTCTCCTTGAGCACCCTTACTTCATGCTGTTTTACTTCCACAGTCCCACACAGCAAATGTGCCCATGGCTTAAGCCGTATGATCCACTAGATCCCTCTATGTTATGGAGCACCTACCAAGGGACGGACACATCATTACAGTGACACAGCACAAAGAGTTTGGGATGTACCTATCAAGTTCTAGTCAGTCTAGCTCCTCCTGTTACAGACCTTCTTATAGTTTGGATTCAAAGAATTCAGTCAGATATTAATTTAAGTAATTTTCTACTCACATGTAGTCCTTTTTTTCCATACGCTATCCCTCGCCCATAAATTGCACTAACCAGCTCTGGTTCTTCCTGTTAAGATTAAAAATGAATACAATAATCAGTTGTGTTTGGCTTTTTTTTTTTACGGTATCTTTCTTCAATATGCATTTAATTCTTGCTGATCTTAAGTAGTAAGCAATGAACAATCACAGTTGGCAGGCAAAGAAATTGATTGTATACAGTCCACACTTTCATATACTCATACTCACAACTTCCAGTTCAAATTACTGGAATTGTTCTGGATTATTTGTCTGGAAAATGAGCTAAAGGGTGCAGTTATACTGTCAGTGACTGCCTGTCAGAAGCTGTGTACACATTAGTATACTTTGTTGTCCAAACTTCATTACTTGTAACCTTATTGGTAATTATATGATTTATTTTGTCTAGTGTCACTGAAGTGACAAGTCAGCCATTCAAAGCTCGTTTTGTTCATAATTTAAGATTTAAAATTAGGAAGCAGGGAATTGTGACATCCTGATGAAATCTCTATTCAGACAGCAACTAAATCTAGAGGTATTCTGCCAAAATAGTTCTGCAAAATTCAAAACAAACTTCCTTGGGTTAGATTTAAGTCCATGGCCTTCCAACTCAGGCACTTAAGGTGACGCATCTCACATACTGAACCTAATTCTTGTTCAATGTTATTTACTCCAGCAATGGTTTCCCATCCAAATTTGAAGAACTACAACAGCAAAACTGGGTTTCTTGACACAACAATGCCTATGCAGTCAGTTTCCCTGAAAACCAGTCAGGAATCATGCCATCTTCACACCTGCAACCAACACAGCTGTGCTACAAAAGCTCGTAGCATAGGCCTGGTCTCATTTAACTGGGACAACCGCCACGGAACACATTCTTTCATTGACAAATCAACAGATACATGGCACACTGGTGCTGGCACCTGGCCAAACCTGAGCTGATTCCAAGTGTACACCTGCCAACGTCAGCTTCAGGGAATTGCCCTACTTTTAATACAGCCGCTAAGCAAGGCTGTTTTGTTCTGTTAAATGTTTTAATATTCACTTTATATGTATTTAAAATTGCTTTATGGAAGACAGAGTGAACAATCATAAGAAAGGCTGTAAAGTGGTTATCTTCACCTTTTATATTATATTATTTGTATTTATATTATTTATATTGTTTCCTTCTTAAAAAAGAGAAGGCAGGAAATATTATGTAAGTCTGGTGGGTTTTGAAGCAGGATTTTTCATTGGGGGGAAAAAAAAATCATTCCAAGAATAACCATTCTGGTCCTCTGATAAATTGCCTGGAATAATTCATTAAATTGCCACACTTTCACTCAATTTAAGCACAAGCCATATGACATATGAGTTAAAAAAAATACCACATGCTAGTATTTGAAGTTTTACTTGCATTTGTGTACTACAACCAGTTTAGATCAAAAAGCAGGTCCATGCTTCTGGGTAGTACCAGGTTCTTAGCCATAAAAATACAGTAATTGGAAATCAGCTTCAGGTGAAGCTTCTAAACTGTTGGGATTGGCTTTGTTTTAAAAGTGGCTACCTTCTACTTCATGGAAGAAGATTCTGAATTTTTTACCTTGGTTAGAACAAAAAAAAAAAAAAAACCGTTGAAGTATTAGTTACATTTTACATATATACTGAACTCATCAAATGCTTAGCACTGAAGAAGGAGGATAAACCCAGCACACTAAATCATTTATCATCATGAAAGCCATGTGGTACTTGCCACTAACAAGAAGTGATCTCTACCAGGTTTTTTTTTTCTGATGTTACTGGCAATAGGCTAACAGTTGCGCAAGCAAAACCACATTAAAATATCTCAGCCTACACATTAGAAGGGCAGTTAAAGGAACTTCAGTTTTGCACAGGTCAGGTTTCTGAAGATGCTTTTTTTTTTTTTGTCAAAGTGCCATAAAAAGGACTCACCAAATAACTAAGATACTAAATCACCTGATTTTAAAAGTATGCTTATGTTTGGATGGGAAAAAGTGAACAAACAATAAAATAATTACTCTCATTTTAAAATCCTTAAATGAATGTTTGTTTTAGTAAATTTCATAAAGTGAGTTTTTTAGGGGTCCAAACAGAAAACTTACCTGCAGCATTGTTGAGAAATGTCGTATGGCTTCATCATACAAGCCGTTGCCAATCAACACATAAGCAATTGCTAACAAAAAATGGCAAATGTAAGTAAACCAGCAAAAATAATCCAATTTTTTTAATACAGTTTACAACTTGGTTTTATTTAATACAAGTTCCTACATTGCACTGAAGATTTAAGTAGTCAAATGATTTCTGAACTGCCACTGAAATGACTTCCCTCAACCACCACCTACCATTCTTTAATTATTCAGCTCCTACTGTGCTCATCAGAATTATTTTTGGGTTTTATGGTTTGTTCAGGGTTTTTTCTGTCCTTCTTACAAGTTGTTCATGAAAGGGTCCATGATTGCTTCTAAAGTGCTTAAGACCAGGAAAGGTACCATGATCCCACTTAGTAGCCCTAGCTGCTTTCTCAATTATAAGTGAGTCTGGTTAACTTTTTTGATAATTCCATTAGAGAACATCTGATTGTACTCATTTGTACACGTTTGGCTAAACTTTACTAGCTCATAGTAAGTTTTTTCTTCATTTGAATTATCTAGACAAACCTCAACTAAAGTGATTCCATTATTTACGAAAACGAGACTGGAAAACTACAGAATCCATACCTGTGTTAAAATTATGAAAAGCTTTAAGGTTCTTGCGTATCCCCTGCTTTGGAGCAGAAGCCAAGTGTTTGAAAAAGAAACAGACCACTGTTTTAGAAACATGTTCCTGTAATCTCCACAAGATATAAAAATACAGTCAAGTCACAAGACTGCAAAGCTGTGGTTGTGCTTGCATGACTGAAGTTCAGTTCTGACAGCTGAATATCTCAAGACTGTTTCATTTCACAGGTTTTAATCTCTCACAGTTCTTAACTCTAGACTAAGTTCTGTCTACACTGCCCCTAAAACCAAGTATCTTGCAGACCAGAGCTATGAAAGTTAAAAGTACAACTTTTCCCCAGGCAGTTCACATGAATGGCTGACAGTGGAACTAAGAGTGGGAATTCACCTTTCCCCATACTTCTATTGAGTTTTAGAAGTCATCCCAACAGAATGGAAGAGGTGCCTGTTGGCTTAATTATTTATTCAAACATGAGAAGAGACAAATAAGCCAGTTAGAACAAAGGCATTTTTAACAGGAGACAGACATTTATCTTTCATGCAGGCAGAGCCACATTGTTTTGGCAGTGTTGCTAAGTACTGTTCATTAAAGGAGGAAAAAAGTTAGATGAAAGAGAAATAAGAATGTATTTAATCCAGAGCTTGCCTCATTCTTTGAGCATTTCTATTACGCAGAAGGAAGTATTTGTGTGCAATATAAGCTTTTTACTCACTACATAAAAAGCTTCACTTGGTACAAATACATAGCATTACCAAAAAAGGAAAGAAAATTGGCAGTGAAGGACAGGTTGAAGAGGTCTTGAATTTTCCTCCTCCAAGACTACACAGTTCTTAGTATCGTCTTTACGGTTCCAATCCCAGAACAGCTGGCTTGTAAAATAAAGTCAACACAGCCATGCCAGTATTAAGGGAAAAAAGTGGAGGAAGCAAGATAATGAAGACTCATTGTCTTGCTGATAATGAGTTTATTTTGTTTATCCAAGACTCTTGGCAAAACACAGGAGGTTGTAGATTATGTCTGCAAAACTATGGCAAGTGATTGGCCACTAGTAGCTGATACAGTATCAGCTTTTAAAATTTTATCTCTTCAATGAATGTTTTAATCTTTACATACTACAAAAATACAAGTAAGTACTTTAGTATGAAAAATCTAAGCATTAACAATGGTCCATTAGCCCAAGTATTTGGGTACCAACATTGCCTCAGAATACCCCACACATTACACGCTACTTTTCCTCAGAACAGCCAAAAGTAACACACACAAACAAGAAGGACCCAGCCTCCTCACACCATGACATACTTGAAATAAAGTGGGTAGGTAGGTGCCAACCTATAGGCCAACCATGAGGACAGGGACCTTCTGGCATAGTCTTCCAAGTCTACAGAGTAGATACTAAAAGCATCAAATATTTTCTGCTGGATGGAAGTTCAGTATTCCCTGCAGGATTCTATGAACATAGTTAGGTATACTAGGAATATGAGAAAAACATTAAGTCCCCAAATTTTCCTGGATAAATCCATGAAGGCAGAAATTATGTTAACAAAAAAACTACTTGATTGTTTTAATTGCATTAGACCGCTTATGAGTAAAGCCTTGTTCTGCCTTTGTTCTTGTATAAAAGACAGTCTGCTGCCTTCCTTGACATACATCCTCAACAATCTCTTTGCTGCCTCATAATACCTCTGCTTCCTATAGAGGATACCAGTTTGGAGAAGCAGTGCAAGTAACTCCTTCCTCAAGTCCTTTGAGAAAAGTATTTCCTGTTGCTTTATTTGAAATGCCTCCATTTTTTGTGCTGAGTATGCTTGGAAAAGACATCAAGTAGCAGCCTGTACAAGGACACAATTCAGAAAGCCTTCCTGCTGCCTGTAAGTGTTGATGGGAAGAGTGTGTTGAGAGGGGAAGACAGATCCAAGATCTATGCTTGATAGAAAGCATATTCCATTGGTAAAATTTTCTGGATGTTTGAATAGTTTTAGACACCAATAATGACAGAAAAAGGGAAGCAGGAAGTAGCTGAGACTGTTTAATAGCATTTAATCAAAATGCTTTTTGAACACCTGCTTAAGCAGACATCGTGAAAAATTCTAGTGAGCAAAGCAGAAAAGATTTTTAGGAAGAGGGAATTTTTTTCTGTATGACCAGAGAAAACTCACTGTATTTTCAGGCTTATTAGGAACACTAATAATGCATCACTAAGGAATCATTAGTTTAGTTTCAAAACATTCAGAGCTAATAATTAGCATGTAATTCACCTGCACAAACCTTATATAAGGCATCTTACCCAATTCTTCATTTGTGTTGTCATTGTCCGTAGCAAATGGAAACCGTTTTTGCTCTGCAAGCAACTTCGCTTGACTCTGTAAAACATCATGTTTTTTTAAGTGTTCAGCAAAAAACAGTAAAGAATTTAATAGAAAACCCACGCCTTAAATCCTTAAGAGAATGCCTTAGATCAAAAAGTTAAGACTAATATGATTGCTTGAAGGTAACTGAAAACAAATTAATTCCTAGTCTTCCACAGATCGAAAAACTGCTCTTCAGTCAAGTGATGCTGTTCTCCTCTCTAACGTAAGGCTAACCAAACCTTTCAGATAAAAGGACATTGTCAGCATGTTACCAGCAGCTGATGTTTCTATATTACATCAGCTTAACATGAAGTTTTGAAAGTGTTTCTAAGACATATGCTACTCCACAGGAAAATTTATACTGTTTACCCCCTTTAATTATTCCTTTGTCTCCTGCAAAGGGAAGGGTACTACAGAAGAGTATAACACTGAAAAGAACATCGCTCCAGCAATAAGGACAAGTTTAACTTAACAGTGCCATACTAAAGAAAAAAAGCTGCCCTTTTAACAATAACTTTCTGTCCTTTATAGACTTTGTTCAGCCAATTGTAGCCTCATCCAAGATCTCTGTTGGCCAAATAATGTGCCTACAGAAACCAACACTGCCAAAGACAACCCCTCAGAAATATAGAAATACTCCACTTCCTTCATTTTCACAAGTATTTTCTATAGACAGCTGTAAGCCTACCAGAACAGTTTATGTTAGGAAAAAAACCAAAATACTCCTGTAATTAATAGGCCTTCCAAACTGTTTTAGGAAGCAAGAAGGGGAAAAAATATGTTCTCTCGCTGCTCAGTTCTCTTCTTTTGCTTCAGCTAAGCAACACGTATGTACATCTTTTACTTCAGAGAAGGCAGTTAAACACCTTAAATTTCAGAGAACATATTTAACTCAACATCTCCTCTGTTGAAAGGACTGCACTTTGTCTTCCTCTCTTCCACTTTTTTTGGCTTGTTTAATCAGAAGAAGCCTCGTTACTTGTGTCCACTACACAGATTTCAACGCTGTGACAAAGAGCAAAAGTAACTGGCCAAATGCCATTGCAGAGTTTCTGCCCTGTTCATCTAATAAGCTTAGGAATGAGAAGAAAGTTCGGTCTACTCTAAAAACTTGAGTACTGTGGAGGGTATGAATAATTAGCCGGTCAGATTTTACAAACCTTGTTTTTACCAAGAGTAGAGATCATGTATGAGCTCTACATTACGCTATAACATTCTGAGAATTATTACTCCACCTACTGCTGCACCTACAGTAACAGAATGGAAAAGTTCTTTCCCGCATTAAAAAAAAAGTCATTAAAAACAGCACAAGAATGAGCAGGGTTCAACAGATATACCAATTAGGAAACTAAATCTAAACTGCAGACCACATATCTTTACAAATCACACATTTCCAAACACAACCTTTTTATAACATCAGTGACCTTCAGGTAACTTCCAGGAAAATCTACTTCCGAAAGTGATCTTCATATTCAACTCTGCAAAACATTATTATTCTGTAACTGTTTTTTAACATTAGAAAAAAATAATTTTTACTGAAGTACAACCTCCTCCTTGGTGGATTTACAAAAAAGGCCTATACTTCTTTGTCTGCGCACAAAAGATAACATATAGCAAGATTCCATGCTGGGTACTGGAAAATAAGCTCATCTACTTCGTCTCTTCTGTTATCGTAGAATAACAGAATAGCATTTGGTTCCTATGGTGGGGGAGGAAGGGGATTCACACTTCTTCAACAAATTCTCTGAATCCAGTTATAGGTTTGACATCCTGCAGCTCTACATGCAAAAACTGTGAGTCATTCTGCCTTCAAGAAATGAGACGAATTTTCATCACAGCACCAACTCCCGATAGGTTGAATTGTTGCCCTCTTCAAAGTGATTTTTTTTTTTTGTAACAGTGAAATTTCTAACAAACTAATATACATTTCACTGCCTTAGAAAGAATAGCTGGTAATGCTAGACTAGACTAGACAGAAGATCTGACCAATATCTGATGAAGCAATGTCTAAGGAGAACATTCAAGTTAAATAATTGGCTTGGTAGATTTGCAGTAGAGTAGTTTTATTTCCAAATGCCACCTTTGGAGAAGTTGCTTCAAATTAGAATATTGTTTCTACACTCCCACATAGCAAATAATATCTACAAATTTGCCAAGGCTTCTTTGTATATTCCCATGTCAATTATTTGAAAATTTTCAGTATCTGTGACTCTACTGGACTGAAGAAATAACATCAAACCTGTGTTCTGATGTAAACTGAACATTGTATTTGTTCAAGATCAAGAGGTTAATGGTAGTATTGCAAGAAAACCCAGATTCCAAAATAATCCTCTTGAAGTGTCTCTACCAAGAGATACGCTTCTTTTGTTAGAATATTCTCCACACTACATGTCTGTATTACAGCTAGTGAAATATGGTCTGAAGCCTCTATCATCTGTGCATAATGTTTTTTCTGTAGCGATTGCAAGTTATCGCTCCTACTCTTAAACGCATTTTGTGGCAAACCTCCTCAGGTAGTTAATCTGGGTAAAAACTAACGCACCTTCTCCTTTGTCAGCCATAGCCCCTGCACCCCTAAAAATAAAAAAAGAATTCATAAACTAATCCAGGTGAAGGTTAGCCTTCAGTGGAAACATCAGCTTTGATTAGTTGAAACTTCTGACAGCCCCAGAGACTCATGATGAAGTATTATGAAATCATACTTTCATGAGCAACTTGAGCTCATTCGGACTCAAGCCTTTTGGGGACCTATGCCTACTGATTAATAGTTTCTATTTGTAGTTATTTGCCTGAACTTCATTCTAACTGGTTATGCAGCTGAAGTGATCTGTGACTTCAACAATCTATTAAAATTGTTTTGTACATTATATTCTTGACAGCATACCAGAATTTTTTCTGTGTTGAAAGAAAGCACAGATTCACAAGTTGAAGACCCTCCTATGTCACAATCCGATTCGTGGAAGTGCAAAAATGATGAATCTGGGGGAAAAGAGAAAAAATACCTTTAGGAACTCAAAGAGTTACATGTGTGCTCTATTATGTGTGCTCTATCATCACATCTCACATTTCTTCATGTTCATCTGAACAGCTTCCCATTTAGGCACTCCACAGGGCAGAAATTTCATGAAGTGCTTTCTGCACACAGCACTATATCCACACAGTCAGGGAAGCAACAGTTGACATGACTGCTTTTATATAATTAGTTTTATTGCTACTTCTTCTTATGCTTTTAGCTAAAAATACATTAAAAGAATAAAAATGAAGGTGTTAAAAAAAACG